GTGACTGCAGTTGCTTCACATCCAGGTCGGTACACACAGCTTGGCAATTACACAACTTTGGAACAACATGAGTCCCTGATTCAGACCAAAGGAGACGACTCTGGGGCTGACAGCAGCCTGAGATGCTTTAAATCCTGAGCTGATGTTTTGCTGGGATTATTTTCAGATGTATGGTGAACATGCTTCAGCTCAGACGGCACGTGTTGGTACAGAAACATGTTACCTGTTAGTCTGCTGCGTCTGGCAGCTGGAGGAGATGCAGTGGACGGATTTGGACGCCTAAGGCTCTGTGCTTCATGCGTGGACGCCATGTCTCTCAGCTGGGACTGATTCAGAGTCAGACTGAAGGGAAGGTTCTAGAAATCATAAGAAATAAACATTTAAGTCCTAATGTTACTTTTCACATATGAACATGTTTGTATTTAAAGGCAGTGATAAAATAAATGTTTGTCCGTTTGTCTCTGAGCTGCATCTTAATACACATCTATACATAGACTCACAAACACACAATACAGGGAAAGATTTAAGTGTTTATAATCTCATAAACAAACATGACTTAACGTAAAGTTCTTTAGGTTGAGTTATCTTCATGTGACATATGTAATGTAAAGTTATGTACTTAGGGCAAAGTTACATAGGATATGTTTCAGAAAGTAAAGTCACATACTTCACATAAAGTTACAACAGTTAGGTTTTGGAAATTTAAGTTATGTACCTAAAGTAAAGTTACGTAGGTCAGGTTTGTGAAAGTAAAGTTACGTAGTTAACATAAAGTTATGTAGGATAGGTTTGTGAAAGTAGAGATACGTACTTAATGTAAAGTTAGGGTTAATAATTTGGGTAATAACTTAACATGAAAATAAATACATACATAAATACATTTAATTTATTTTTCTGTTTCTGTGCATGTGTTTGATTTTTAAAATAATTTAAACATTTATTAAATAATTGATGTTTTTATTTCATCATGTATTTTATAATTAATTAGTGATAAGAATATGGGCAGATTCAGTCCTCCATATCTGAGCTACACCGTCAGTACATGTCAGCTGGTACAGAGAATATTCAGGCGGGGACGACCAGGACATCTGTCTCTGTCGTCGTCCTCCTCTCCTCTCCTCTCCTCTCCTCTCCTCTCCTCTCAGTCCTCCTCCTGTACTGTTCTCCCACTATCCTCCTCTTTATTTCAGAATAAATAAACACACAAATAAATATGGTAAATAAATAGAAATAAAGTCAGACTCACCACAGACTGTGATGGATCAGCTCTGGTCTGGCTGTAATGAAGCTGTAAGCTGCAGCAGTGAGATTATATCCTGTCTGAACACGAGGTGAACGTGAGGCTGAAAGTGAAACTGAGTGTGAGTGCTGCAGGGAGGGAAACTACACCGCCATATGTCACACACAGACGGGTCAATAAACGTGTTATATTCATGTCATGCTGGACGGGTCACACACAGACGGGTCAATAAGCGTGTTACATTCATGTCATGCTGGACGGGTCACACACAGACGGGTCAATAAACGTGTTATATTCATGTCATGTTGGACGGGTCACACACAGACGGGTCAATAAGCGTGTTACATTCATGTCATGCTGGACGGGTCACACACAGACGGGTCAATAAACGTGTTACATTCATGTCATGTTGGACGGGTCACACACAGACGGGTCAATAAACGTGTTA